GAAGAAAGATTGCAAGAGCTGGGCCTGTTCAGCCTGGGGAAGAGAAGCTTGAGAGGCGATCTCATCAACGTGTACAAGTATCTGAAGGGGGAGTGTCAAGAGGATGAGGCCAGCCTCTTCTCCGTGGTGCCCAGCGACAGGACAAGAGGCAATGGGCACAAACTGAACCACAGGCAGCTCCATCTGAACCTGAGGAAAAACTTCTTCCCTGTGAGAGTGACAGAGCATTGGAACAGGTTGCCCAGAGGGGTGGTGGAGTCTCCTTCGCTGGAGATATTCAAAACCCGTCTGGATGTGATCCTGGGCAATATGCTCTAGGTGACCCTGCTTGAGCAGGGAGGTTGGACGAGATGATCTCCAGAGGTCCCTTCCAACCTAAACGATTCTGTGATTATTTTTTTACTTAATTGCTGCTTTACTTTCCTGGGAGTTTGCCGTGAATAATTACAATGGTGCGCAGTGTGAAACCATAAACAAAAGAAGGAGCAGAACCAGTCTTTGAAAAGGCTTACTCTAATTTTTGCTTGCAGTGAATTTGAGAATACCAGGGATAAAGTTTACCTGCTAACTCTTCTGTATTTGCCCCATTGACTGCTATAGGGTATTATGGGACGGAAAGGCTTGCCAGGTCCACCTGGCCCCCCAGGGGACAGCATACAAGGAAGCAAGGTAATCAGGTTTAATGTGATACCTCTCCACACTTTCTTCTCAAAATTGGCTCTTACAGAGAGTCATTGTCTCTTTTCCTGCCTGCATAATTTCCATGTAAATTCTGTTTGCAACTAAGTCAGTTAAATCTTACAAACACTTAGTGTAAATTTGAGCTTCTTATTGATAAAGTATGTAATATTTACTTTAACTGTTGACTTTTCAGGATTGGTGGCACCTGATTGCTCTCCTAAATCAATGAGAATTATTTTTGCTTTTACGAATATATTTAACCAGAAAAAAGTATATTCTCTGCCACATTATACTGTTTTACTTAGATTTAAAGCACTTTGTCCTAAGAAAACATCCAGGTTTTGCTCTGGGCACTCACATAAAAACAGAATAACAGAGATCTATCATGTTTTGCCAAAATAAGTCAAACTACACATAACTATGGAAATATAAATTACCAATCTCCCACATACTTTTGTCAGGTTTTCACTCAACTAGTTCTAGTCATAACCATAACTTCTCCCTTATATAAGGAGAAACATAAACATAGTAACATATGCTGAGCATTCAAAGTTAATAAAATGCCTTATCATGAATATGTGCGTGAAAATTATTAAAATTGGAGGATCAAGTGGAGAACAACCCACGTTTCTCCTCTCTCTCTTAAATCAATGCTTAAAGTTGAACATACAATTGAATACTTCCCTGAATCAGGAGGATTGTGCTCAGCCCTCTGATTCTAGATCAAACCACCAGCAAATCTGTAAGAGAAGCACTCATTTAACCGAGTTAGGAAAGACACGTCTATACTGCAGTTAGCTGTAGACACTAAAGCCAACAGGGAATTCGTTGACAAAATGCATTTTTATTGGAAAACAGTGATTTGCTGAAACCAAAAATGTTCATTGTCAGCAAAATGTGCCATGGGAGAACATTCCTCTGGTTCAGGGTGGAGTTATTTAATATGAGCCTTACTAGGCAATCACTAACTCCTCCTGACTTCTTTTTGTTCAATACTTGTTCTAATTCCAGCTTCCGAGTCCTGTAGCAGTCTACCTGTTTTTATGTTCATGTTCAATCATTTCGCTTTTTGTACTGCAGAGAGCCCTTCCCTTCTTCGCCATGAGGTCTTTTATAGCATAAAAATATACTGTACTGTATACTGTTTGTTTTAAGGTTTTTTTTAGCTCTCTTTAATGGATGCTGATTTATCTCAAGGCTTTCTTAGCTTTTTGTTCATAAACCTGTATGTGATCACAGTCTTCTGACTGTTTAGACCTTTGATTTTGATCAGCTTGCAGCTTTATTCTATGCTGTAATCAGTAACCACATGGCTATTGGGTATTCTGATGTGAGGGCATAGGGAACTTCTTAATCTCCTTTCTCTGCTTATCTTGTTTGCAGAATCTTTGAGGGCTCTTTGCTCTATTCTAGTAGAACATAAATACAAAAAAATCTGCCATCTCTATATGCTTCAGAGGATAAGAAAACTATTTTCTGTGTCACTTTAATAAGCATTTCTGCTGTAACTGTTTCCACAGTCTAATATTTGGAATATATCTTAGTTAATGAAACAGTTAGGTTAGTCGTAAAAGGTCAGCTGCCATTCTGAGCAGAAATGTTTTGGTAATTGAATGAATCTTATACAGGAAAAAAATATGTATATTATTTTTTCTGTTCCTGAAGAAAGATAAAGGTTAGTTAAAACATTCTCAGTGCATATATACAGACATACATGTACACACAGTTTTAGATGTTACTTTGGTGCTGCTATGAGCAATATTCAAACCAGAACTGAAACTTTTGTAATGGAAGATTTTCAGCTGAAGAGCATGATCCACTGAAGCACACTGTCAATGAACACGTTTCTAATGGAAGAATGTAGAGTGTAAGGGTATAAGAAAATAACGTGCTTTGGACATGAAATATCTCTGTCTTTGGGTTTGAAGCCGTAACTGTAATGATGTGGTGGATCAAACTGAGCTGGTGTTGTTTCTGGAGTGGTCTATGAATTGTGCCGGTACAGTCTTTTCCTTAAAATTTTCGTCCCTTAACAACTGCTTATTGGTTTTCTTAACTATTATATAATTATTAACAGCCATTTCTTCCTTAATGTCTTTGGCAACTGCCTTGCTTCTTTAGTACCTGTTTCCTTTATAGACTGATGCTTGCTTGAGCATGTCTCTCTTGTCTTTCTCTCTTCACAATAATGCCAAGCTGCTTTCTTTTTGGCCACTCTTCATCATCTTAAAGCCACTATACTCCTGGATTTGAACTATCAATATCAATCCACTTTTTTTTTTTATACACATAATGCTCTGTCTGCATATGGTAAGAATGATACGTAGAAAGTGAAATGGGTTTCCAGTAACATTATGTTGATAGAAACATTCACAGCTCTTCTGTTTTATTTTTGGTTTCCTCTCAAAACCACTGTCTAGACATTCTCAGATCTGCATTCGATTCAGAGAAAGACAGTTTTACATAAGACAGCATGTTGATCAGTAATCTAGCCTGCTAGATATTAGGGTCAAGGATCCAAGTGCATGCATTTTTACACACAGACCATTTTGGTTTTTTAAGATAAGGCTGATGATCAAATTTGACATGAATTATGTATGTGGATTGAACTGGCAAAGCAGTAAATATTTCAAAATTAATAAAGCACTCAATTTTTACTAAACATTAGATTATTACTTCTATAATAAATCCTATCCGTGCTGATGACTGGTTGCACAAATAGAGGAAGGAGGATTTGGTTCTATAGTTGACATTTTAAAGGATAAAACTCACATGTGTGCCTTTGAGAAATGACAGCTGTATAGGTGTGATTGTTATTTTAGAACAATAGGTCTCATTCAGTCTTCATTGCCTAAACACCATCTTAACACTGTCAATCATGCATTAACAAATGACAGCAATAAATCGATAGTTTTGTTTGGTGTGACATGTAATATTAGTGGAGGATCACGGGAAAACAAAGCATATCTTAATTCTGATTCACCTATATGTGGTCTGCAGCTTTGTTAGGGGATTAATCAGGAAGTTGTGTGATATTTCTAGGCAGAAAGGAGAGTCAGCTCCTGTGCTGGAAAGCAGGTATGGAAACAGACTGTCACACTGTGTTTAATAGTAGTATGCATTAATAACCTACATGAAGGAACCAGAAGGCACAATCCTGTTAAAACATGAGTTAAAGTAGATTAGATAAAATAGTACGCTATGTTCCTACAACAGTGTCAACTAAATTCCCTTGTACATCCCGTTGCATTAGTGATATTTCCTATTTTTAGGAAATTCCTAATTTTTCTAGTGAACCAGCTATGTAATTTACTGCAGCATGATTTATTTTCCAGTATCCAGAGTCTACATAGTGGCAGAATTTTTGCAGCTGTAAGAAACTGGGCGTGGGGTGGGCGAGATCTGCTCGCAGAGCAAGAGGGTGCTGCTTAGCTGGTCAGTCATATCTCTTCCTAGTGAGAAGCAGTGCATTTTGGCTCCCCCAGACCTGGGGACTGGTGGACCTGGCAGGCTCCCACAGGGCAGGGCAGAAAGGCAGCGCTCCAGAGGAGATGTGGCCTGCAGAGCATAGCGGGCACCCCTGCCTAGCACGGGGCAAGACTGCAGTGCCGTAACCTGTGCAACCAGGAGCTCCCATTTCAGCAGGATCTCAGTGTAACCTGAAATCTGCACATGGGTAACCACCCACTGACCATGATTCCTAGTATCCTGCCTCTTCAAAGAAGCTGCATCTCACTATCTGACTCCTGCTCAATTCCCAACTCACTGGAAATCGGGAGCCTTGATTATATGGAAGGAAAAGTATCTAACTTGGCTGTGCACATTGCAGGTCTTCCTCTGCCTGCAGAAATCCATGAGCCCCTACCTTGCACAGCAGAGAGTGAACAGTGATCAGTCCACCCAAACCGGTTCACCTTTGGTAAAGCCTGGATTCTTGATAAATTTGGAAACATAGTTTTACATTTCTCTGCCCATTATGAGCAGTGTAATTTATTCAGGTCTAGCTGTAAGTAGCTACCCAAGAATTAGTAGGAGATGCTTTAGTGAGACAGCTTGAAAGCTCTTGACTGAATACTATAACTAACTTTGATTCAGATAGGAAGAGGTAGTGGAAAAATAAAAGACAAATCAAGTAGTGTGATCTCTGAATATAAGAACTTATTACTTTTGTCCTGTGTAGCTATAGAAAAATTAGACACTAGCCCTCTATTAATGGGAAAAAAAAAGAAAAGACCTAGTAGGTTCTTAGGCACATGGACCTAGGCAGGAGGCTCCTCAATATTTCTGAAATGAAATCTAGAGCGATTTCAGTACTTTGGGAGAACCTGAAGATTTTTGACCTTTCATCTCAGGGCAAAACAGAAATATTTTTAGGAACTTAAGCAGGACGGGGAATGAAAATGTGGAAGAGTCCAACCATGGTTCAGTATTTCTGAACTATTTCATGGCAGCATTACAGAGATTAAATATTTGTTTACCTTGTACTGCGTTGTGCAGATATGCCTCAGCTAGCATGTCATGGGCTAGATTCGGTACAGGCAATAGCTACTCTCGATCTCTTGTTCACCTTCTCTAGAGCTGTTTTCGGTGTTTCTGCAGAGCAGTGCTGTTATGCTGCAAAAAATGTGAATTTTAGTAAGCATTTATGTACCAGGGAACATCATTCCCTCTAGATGTGCTTAAAATATATTTAACATTTGATCTGAAAAAAATATTTATGTTACCATATTAAAAAAAAAAACAGGAAGATTTCTGGAACCCGTATGCTATGGCAGATTTTTGTACATTTTGGAACACTACAGACAACGAAAAGTTATAGCTTGAAATATGCATTTTTCTAAATCTAAATAACAGCTGCATTTTATATCATGTTGTATGTTCACCGTGCTAGCATGATAGTTTTTTTCAAATCTATATAAATGCAATGATTACAAGCGGATTTGTACTTTGCAACTGAACTGATACTGTCCTTTAAGGTGTTAGCAGGAGGGTGTTCTACTCTCCACATTGTGAACACAGATTTCTTCTTATTCACTTAGTTAAGATCAGAAAAACCTAAGTCAACTTTGCAGGGATTTCTGGATGTGTATTTCTAGAAAACCAACATATTAGATTGTAACCTCTTTTTTCCACTTGTAGACTGGGTGGATAGCTGCTTGAACCTCAGTGAAGTTATTTTTCACTTTCATTTGTGTCAGTGAAATGACATTTCATTTCATTAATCTAGAATAATTTCTTTGTGATATACTTTACAAAAGCTTCATGTATGTTCTGAATCATTCCCCGTTACTTATTTCCCCAGCTTCAGACCATTTCCATTTTGAAAATTATATGTTTCATTGTATAATACTAATATCTGTCTGTCTTTATCATGGAGAATGTTATAATGTGAGCAGCATAGTGGTAAAGAGCATAGATCTTATTTTGATTTTCAGTTAAACTTACTTTTCATATTCTGTTCAGGGAGAAAAAGGAAATCAAGGTTTTCCTGGGCCAAAGGGTTCAATAGGCATTGGCTTTCCTGGACCAAAGGTAAATCCTAGATTTGCAATAAGGAAAGACATAATTTTTTTTCTTCCTTCATTGCTTATTTGGTGTGACAGGTCTTTGCAGATAAACAGAAGGCAAAGACCATGCCTTGTACAGATAGCAAGGTAAGTCTTTACTACTTTTTGTCAGCTTCGCAGTCAATAAAAATCCCAATTGTTACTCTGGATCAGGCTCTGAACTGAGATCTAGAATGAAGTCATAACTCTTAGCAGGAAAATAATATAAATAAATCATGCATTCAATTATTTTGAGCCTTTTTCAGGTACCACAAAAAGTCCTTCCATTATTTGTCAGGCTTTAACAAATAAAATTTTGCTCTTCAATTAATATCTTATACAGGCTTTGTTTTATTAGACTCAGGTTTTTTTACAATCATTGGAGCCCAAACTTGGACTTATTACATACTAAACAGGTTGATATGAAAATTGTGACAATTTCCTACAACATATCCTGCGTATATCTACTTCCATCTAACAAACCCTGTGCAGATAGAATTTAAGTACTTTGGTTATTTGTCAGTGATTTTTCAAGTGTGCAGCATCTGGTGGGAGCAATCTAGCCAAAGGAAGCCAGGGCAAATGGTCAGTGGGTCTCAGGGCACCACACAGGTTGAGGGCTCCCCGGGGCTGATAGGAGTGGGGGGGGGTCACTGTGGTAGCTGGGCCTGGCCACCCTGCAAGGCAGCAGGGCAGCTGGGGGCAGCTGGGGCAGCCCCAGCCCTGGGCATCAGACGCTGCCACAGGCTGATGGTGCCCTCCAGTCCCTGGCAGTGTGGATGCACAGACCAGCTGTGTCACCACAGCTGGCAGGCACAGATACCAGGGAGCACGGTGAGCCCAGGAGGCACCAGCCCCAGGGCGAATGGTAGATGCAGCACAACTGCTCTGGCTCATGGCCTGGGCCAGCTGGGCTGTCCCTCTGCAATAAGTGCAACAGTTCAGGAGCAGTAAACTTATTGTGAAGGCTCTGCTTGGCAATCCTGAGAAAAAAAACATGGCAATCCTCACAGCAGAGCAGAGATAATCAGGCCCCCTAACTTTAGCATTTACTTGCGTAAGCAGGAGGTCAGTGGCCCCCATAGTCAGCAGAGGCAGTCCCCCCAGAGGGAAACTCAGAGCCCCCATCAGCTACTGCCTGTCCTAATGATTTTCACAGTACTGCAGCCTACATTGACTCAGTTTTTGTATTATTTAGCCTGCTTCAGCTTAGCTTTTATGAAACAGTGACAATCAACTCTGATACAGATTTGAATTTCTGTCCCTTAATTCTAGTTTCTCTCCGATGCAGAATGCTATATACCCAAACAATAGTATGATATATTCGCTACTCTTCATATTCATCTTGTATCTTGGCTAGTCTTCATGACCTACGACCTGGTATCAGTCTCTTCAAATACTTACAATTTTTCTGTATGTCGTTGATTTAGCAGACCTGTCACACAGGACAAGGAGTGGTTTATTTCGGCGGGAATTTCAAGCAATGCCAAATACCAGATAGATCATTTTTTAACATAGTTATGCGTAAGAAAGTAGCAACACCACCACAGACAACAGATCAAATTTGTTATGCTGACGTTAACTTTGATGAGGTTGCATTCAGTTCACAGAAGGGTAATAGAAAGTAATATTCTTCACTGGATATTGTGATCTGGTGAAAGTACAGCAGAAAGTGCCTTCCAAGGGCTTACTTAGTGATTTCTGTAACACTGTGCAGTAGCTATACACAATTTTGAGGTTTATACAAGTTTGAGTAAGATCAGACCCAGATTTCCTTAAAATTGATAGCAATTACTATAGCAAATGTTTTAACAAAGGAGATACCTATGTGGTTCCATTGGCTGGGTAGTAACAAGGGATAAAAGCAAAATTCATAGTACTTTAATTAAATTTCTAAGGTCTAGAATTTCAGGTGAAATGTAAGCTGGTGAGTAATTTCCTGAGAGAAATAAAAAACCTGTTCTGCACAATCTCCTTGAAGAAATATCGAATTTAGATCCTGAATGTTTTGATAATATATTTCACATCTGCCTCATCTGAAAACTGCCTCTTGAAATGCAATAATGTTGAATCCTTTCTCTTTTGAAATCAAAAGATCTAGTTACTTGAGGAAAAAAATGCAGAATTTGCTTTTAAATGTGAGAATAGGCATTTTCAAACTAAGATAACAGACCAAGTATTCCTTTTCCTCTTTTGTTTGCAAGCTCCCGGTTTTTCATGGTAGATTCTGTTCAAAGCTGGAGGGTGTTTTTTTACATTGACTGATTTGAGGCAGTTAAGTCTCTTCATAGATTTGCACTAACATAGGTCCAGTAGAAACATGGCTCCAGCATTCAAGAAAATCAAAGAAGTGAAAACCATTATATAGATTTGGACATCTGCATAAAGATGTCTATACTCTACACACTTGAATCAAGGTCATTTTTCACAGAAATTTATTTAAAACATTTGTATTCTGAGTGTTGCTTTCTCTCAGATCCTGCTTTCAGATGTTCTACTCATAGTACCTACAAGATAAACCAACCACAAAAAAAAATCAGAACATTATTCTTAAAAATGAACCGAACCAAAACTACAGCTCTGATTTCCAACAAAACTAGACTGGATGATTAATTTTAATACCGCTATTTTAAATTAGGGAGATTATGGAGATAAAGGTGATCCAGGGAACAAAGGTGCCAAAGGAGAGATTGGAGACCCAGGACCTCCAGGACCAAAAGTAAAATACATTTTTATATTATTTAATTTTACACAATAGAAACTAGACAAATGAGTATTATGTTAATTGTTTCACTCTACACGCTTTCAGGGAATTTGGGGAAGAAAAGGTGAACCTGGTCTTTCGGTAAGTATATACATGAGTTAATTTGAAAGCGTACTTTTAATTTGGAAAAATATTTAAATGTTATGGCACATTACACAAGGTTGATTATGGGACATTGCCTACATTTTTGCAGCTAAATAAATAAATAAATTCCAGCATTCTTAAAACTAGAACACGCACCAAATTAATTAATATTCTGTTTCAGAGAGAAGAAATTATCAGACTCATCAATGAAATATGTGGTAAGCATTCCAGCATGAAAAAAAAAATAGTTTTAATGAAACACACTGAATTTATATTTCATGAATGAATTTTTCCTCTGCATGTTAGTGTGAAAGGATACCATTTACCTGAAGAATGATCACTGTTTTGCCAGAGCTATACTGGAAGCAGTTTGATCCAGCTTCCTTTCCGTTTATCAGTAGCAGTAATTATATATCATATTAATACGTTAAGTGAGCCTAACTGACTGTAAATCTGTTATTTCAGTTAATTGGAAGATGGTTCTCATAAAACATCTGAAATGGTTATTCTTCTAGGTTGTGGTGTCAGATGTATAGTAACACCACTGGAACTACTATTTGTCATTGACAGTTCAGAAAGCGTTGGTCCAGATAACTTCAATATCGTAAAAACTTTTATGAAAGCAATCATTGACAAAGTATCAGCCAACCACGCTACAACACGTATTGGCATCATCAACTTCAGCCATAAAGTTGAGTTAGTATCGTCTCTGAAGCAATACACAACCAAAGAACACCTAAAATCTGCGGTTGATAAGATGCCTTACCTAGGAGAAGGCACCTACACAGCTTCTGCTATCGAAGAAGCCGTTAAGTTATTTGAGGCAGCACGTCCGGCAGTAAGAAAAGTGGCTGTTGTAATAACAGATGGACAAGCAGACACTCGGGACAAAGTACAACTGGATACTGTAGTAAGGAAGGCCCATGCCTCCAACATTGAGATATTTGTAATTGGGATTGTTCAGAGGGCTGATCTTCACTATGATGATTTTCTGAAAGAAATGCAGCTCATTGCAACTGACCCTGACGCAGAACATGTTTACCAGATAGATGACTTCATGACTCTTTCAGGTAAGAGAAACTGCAACAGAAAACTTTCAAGTAAGTATATAACACAGAGTTTGGCCTTTCCCATAGCAAGACGAGGCAGTCAGTAGAGGCCTGCTGAATATCAACTTTTGTCTCTCTTTTGGATGCAGCTCTTTCTTCAGTTTCTCTTGGCCTTTGCCGGGTTTTTTTGTCTCACACAGAAACAAAGAACCACAATAAACGGCAGTTTTCAGAACCAAGGCCTTCTTTGGGGCACTCATCCTCTAATGAGAGTTTATATCAGCTTTCCTTCACTGTGCTTTTGTGCTGGGTCACAGTTTCATATGAGAGAGGTGTAGATTTCTTTCCCCCTTGGCGCAGCATCTCTCTCTCTCGCTCCCTCTTTCTTACATATGCCTATTGTGCTCTCTTTGCGATTTGTCAGTCTTGCACTCCTTCATGATCTCATACTACCAGTTTTTTGTTTTCTTCCAAAAGCCATACAGAAATCTACGCTTTTATCTGGGTTCTAGGGGAAAAGGTGACAGAGAAAGATGCACAAGGGAATGGGGGCTGCTAATAAATTATGCATTTCAAACTATGGCTTGAAAAATCCTGTGGCCACAGCTGGAATCAGACAAAATCCAGGGAAAGCCTGTAATGACCCAAGAGGAAAAATTGATCGGTCTAGACTAATTACAGAATAACCCTCTAAAGTACTTCTATTCTGAGCATAAACTCATTTCACTATGCTGAGCCTGTGGATGGAGCTAAGCCTGGATTTAAGTTTCTGACAGCGTGAACAGAATCCAGACTAGGGGACTGGTCCAAGCTAGGATTAAATTTAGGGCTTGGACTCCAGCTCCAGCATTTAACATAAAAGTCTTCCCATTCACTGAATTTCTTGTGAGAATAAACAGAATGGGTAGACTAGTTTCTCATTCTCTTTCTTACACATACACACCTTCATTCATTCACTGGCTTTTTTTTTCCAGCCCACTGATCTACGACTTCCGCTTAAAAAAGGCCTTGGTATTGAAAATATTATTTTATCTGTTTCTTAAGTGAACAAGAGCACCTTAAATGTAAATTTAATTCTGAGAGTACATTGCTTTATTGCTTTTTACTTCAATTTTGATATAGCTTTAGAATATATGGTTTCAAAAATCATTATAAAAGAAGATTTGTGTTTCATACTGTACAAAACGTGGAGAATCGGTGTGACCTTTATTACCCTTAGCAAATTTCATATTTGTGTTAATCTTTTTAGCTCTTGAAAATAAACTCATCACAAAAATCTGTGAGAATGAGTCTGAACTCCACACCAGAAAAGTTGATGTTTTATCTCCATCTCCAAGTCCTGGATTTGAAATATCTGGTGAAGTTACTGATGGTCAATTACCTACAATTACTATTTCAGAGACTTATGTGCCCCCTACAGAAGGAATCACTTACTCAGTAAGTAAAGAAGTAGTAGTTATCAAATATTTTTAAAAGATAGGTCTCTATTTAAATTTGTAAGGTTTTTTTTGCACTATTTGCCAGTCATTTAATATGTAAATAATGTGTTCTTTGGATAGAACAAAACAGATCTGAACAAAGCTTTTAAAGTAAGAGTGGAACTTAATTACTTGTTTGGAACAGGATTCTACAATAAAAAGAGGGTAATACTGTGTCTTAGTTGCAATAAATGCCAGCAGTCGTCACGTTTTTCATGGTTCTGACTCATATTCATCTTGACAGTGAGTGGGAAACCTTGCAGATATTTCTCCTTGCAGTCAGATACACAGTGAGAAGGCATTTATTTGTGTGCAAGCTCATTGCTAGTGCAACGTTTCTTGTCGTGTTCATATAGTCTCTAGGTGCTTAAAGCCTTCAGCAGTGTTCAGCTTGGGCTGTGCTTCTAGAGTCCTCATTCCGGTCGCTCTTTGTTCTTCCTGTCCTGCAGGGGAGTTCTGCCCTGCAACGTGGTGCTGCTGTGCAAACAGACAGGGCAGGTGGGGTTTTAATGCAACAGATAAATATTTTCTGTAGGTGTATTAACTCTCTTCTTAGGTCTTTGGTATTTTTCAGTCACTACCTTAATATCACAGCGTCACCTTATTAGATTTGTCACCCTAACGGTATATTAGAGCTAACTTTCTAGGGTGTTTTTACTGCTTTGCCTCAAAACAGCTGACGATAAAAATTGAGATATTGCTTGTCCCCATAACCCGTTCAATAAACTACTGAAATATTCGATGAAAAATAAATATAAGCCTGGATTTATAGATCCTGACATTTACAAGTCCTATGAAAAGGATCACAAATATAGTATTTTTTATGAGTTGTTTTGAATTCTAAGTGATCAGGTGCACATACACTTGGCTTTAGTAATAACATACTTTTACAGTTGGCTATGGTAATAATTAAATCTTCAGAGCTGTTGAATTACTATTTGAAATAAGCACAGCCATTTAGTAGACCAGAGAAGAAATGTAACGAGCAAAGGATTGAATGAACAGTCTGCACATATACATTTCAGCTAGACTTAACAGTTTCAGAGTCCCAATGACTAGGAGTTTTCCTAAGCTGACTCGGTGTGCTAGTAGTGGCCTGTAAAGGGGAAGATGTAGAACATAGTATCAAATTCCTTCCTGCTTTCAATAGATAATAAGGATTAATGCACTTGTTTATACTGTATTTATACTAAATTCTTGCAAATCTTCTTGAATATACTAAAACACTAGAGAGATAAATATTTATATAATTTAATTTGAAGAGGTATATTGGCTTCTTAATATTCTGATCAAGGTAATCTTTAAAATTTTAGTAATTAGCAACTGGATATTAGACAGCTATAAAAAGGAAAGAAGGTGATTTGTCATGTGGCCTGATGCGGGTAAGGATGAGAAGTTCTCAGTCTTAGGATATGGTTCCTATAGCACAAGTTTTGGAAATTTTTGCTCTTGAGACATACTCAAGGGATTCCACATCTAAAACAATCTTTGGAGGAGCATAATGCCTGTATGTTTTTTCTATGAATAACATAACTGTTCCTCCTGCCTGCCATTTTCCATTTCTTGGCAGACTTAAAATGCCTGATCATTCCTAGTGAGTGTAATAGATGTTAGTAAGCACTCACTCCAAAGTTCCCTACATGTTTTGTTTTACTTATGTTACAGACTAAGTGGCACCTGAAATTTTGCTTAAATGGATTTCATTTGGCTTAGTAACTAACTGGAAGGCATTATTTTGCCTGCTCAGTTAGCTCTCAGTGTCAGAAAAAAATCAGTTGTAAAATCATGGTCACCTACTGAGTGACTGAAGCAAGAACTGAAAGCAGGGGCTGCTTCTGCTCCATTCCCTCGCCACTAAGGCTCCTTCGCTTAGCTGAGCTGGGGAACAGAGGATAAAGGGCCAGACAGAGTGAGGAGGAAGGGCTACAGGCTGATACTTTGCTAGAAGGAGGTTTGAATGCACCTGCCAGTATTGCTAAATGCCTGAGAAAAATACCATTAGTTTCCTACATCGAATCCTGCAATTTTTTTTCTTAAGATCTGAGCCCAAATACATTTTCAGTTATATGATTTTGACTCCTTTCTTTAGCTTAATCCACCGAGGACCCAATATACCAAGCCATTGTCATATGCTCAGGATCATACCGTGACCAACTCTGCTCATAGAGAGTCAAGAATTCCTCCGCTTTACAACACTGCTGAAATCAGACCTCAGAGTCCAGTAGTCAATCCTCTGTTCAACGTAACTGCAGCTGAAGATCACCAGCTAACAGTGTTGCAAGCACGAGTAGTAACAACTCAAAAAGGTAAGGAATAAATACTGCCCTCAGAATACTGGGGTAGGTGGGTGGGCAGTAATGCTCCTATTCTGGGGATGGTGAAATACATAGATTTGTCCACACTCTTTTCCTTTTCAAAGACTTCCTGAATGCTGATTGCTTTTCACAGTGCTTTGAACAAAAAGATACTTAAAATATTTTAGGCAGAGAAATAAAGAGGCCAAAGAGATTAATGAGATAATCTTTCATGCTTGCAGACCCATGTTTGAGTCTTTTAGAATAGAAAAGAAATAATTTAGCATCTGGCTATACATCTGCTATTGGGTCTATCATGGAGGACTGGGGTTTGGAGATGCAGCAGATATGGTTTGTCAAAAATGAGTGGCGTAGCCAAGGTAGTAAATAATCCGCTCAGTAAACTTTCTCTCTCCTGTTTCTGCTTTCAGATTTTAGATCCTAAATACATCATTGTACTCTAGAAATAGCATAAACCCCAAGATTATAAAATTAGTAGTGTTAAGGTTTTCATGGGAGCTGCAGGTCCTCATCACCTCCATAAATCTGCTCTTCACCTCAAGTAAAGGCTATTGGTTTCAAACTGTAGGGCAAAATATTTTCTTGATCAGTAGATTAATTAAGAACTGTGTGTGTGACATCTGTGGCTGATAAGGCAGGGAGAGGGGGGAATGGGACTAAAAAAAGTGATCTACATGATCAGTTAGTTGAGGAAAATCATAAAAAGCTATACAAATAGCTGAAATTACCTATTACAAGTTCTATAAAAATATTATATAGGTCCTTGCAGCAATACTAAACAACACTTCATAAAATGACTTCCAGAAGCTACCTGACACCTGAGCGTCAGAACATGTATAGGACGTTGCACATTCATTACATTTACTGTCTTCTACCTCTCCACTTCGTGTACTCTTCAGAATTCTTTCTCAGTTGGCAGCTGACAGAAAAAGACAGCTTTATGCCTGGCCCCTCGTGAAGAACAGGCCTTGGGCAGCATACCTGGGGGGGGGTTGGGGGACTCCAAGCCTCTCTTTGTGGCAGAACTTTCAATTGTAAAGCCTTCTTTTTCCTTTTTTTTGTTTTTTGTTTTTTTCCTAACTGGCTCCTGCTTTCATCATTAGCTTTGCAGTATTTTTTTTCTTCGTCAGGTCATCTTCCTCCCTGAAGATTATTTCTTTGGCTTTCTAAAAAGGACTGGAGGGACAGTGTTTTCCTTCAGAAACCCCATGCAGCGATAGGAAGTCACAGAGGCCCCTCTCAGAGAGCAGACATCTGGACTAGACGAGCAGATTGCAGTGCTCAGAACTGGTGTATGGGCAATGGAGAGATGGTCGAGTCAAAGCAGCCAAGTTGAAGCTCCTTTTGCTGACACAGCAGAAGTAAAGACAGGAGCAGGGCAATGTTTCTCAAAGAACCTGTACTTTCCCCATAAGCAAAACAGACCTGTTCAATCCAGCAGGCAATCTCTTAAAGTTGGCGAGGACAGAAACTCCCGTCACAACTCTGATAAAGAAAATCTAGCTAGTGAAGAGAAACCAAGTATTGAAAGAACTGGCTTCTAAAGCAGGAAGTCTGCACTGAAACCAACCAAACAACAAACCCCGCTCCCTCCCGCAGTATAGTTACACATATGAAACACATCTTTTGTCATCTGGTTGCATCTGGCTGCATGTGGTGAGAGCCGGAGTTTCAAACTTAGATGACACCACTTGTGTACCAATTGTGGGTTTAGGTATTTAATTAACAGTTTGGTTCTAGCATCAGGATTTAGGCAGTCTCATTTGAAACTGAGCCTATGTTTGGTTAGACCTGTTCACAGAACGCATTACTATAAATGGAGGTTTGGCAACAAATTGAAAGCTGCATATATCCTCCCAGGCCCTACAAGAAAATAAGTGGGTGTCCTTATTGAAGAAGGCACTTATAGAAAAATGTATCTTATCCCCAAATTCCAAGCTAACTTTTATTCATATACAGATTCAGATCCAAAGTGTTTGGAACCTATGAAACCAGGGGATAAACCCCAAGATTATAAAATTAGTAGTGTTAAGGTTTTCATGGGAGCTGCAGGTCCTCATCACCTCCATAAATCTGCTCTTCACCTCAAGTAAAGGCTATTGGTTTCAAACTGTAGGGCAAAATATTTTCTTGATCAGTAGATTAATTAAGAACTGTGTGTGTGACATCTGTGGCTGATAAGGCAGGGAGAGGGGGGAATGGGACTAAAAAAAGTGATCTACATGATCAGTTAGTTGAGGAAAATCATAAAAAGCTATACAAATAGCTGAAATTACCTATTACAAGTTCTATAAAAATATTATATAGGTCCTTGCAGCAATACTAAACAACACTTCATAAAATGACTTCCAGAAGCTACCTGACACCTGAGCGTCAGAACATGTATAGGACGTTGCACATTCATTACATTTACTGTCTTCTACCTCTCCACTTCGTGTACTCTTCAGAATTCTTTCTCAGTTGGCAGCTGACAGAAAAAGACAGCTTTATGCCTGGCCCCTCGTGAAGAACAGGCCTTGGGCAGCATACCTGGGGGGGGGTTGGGGGACTCCAAGCCTCTCTTTGTGGCAGAACTTTCAATTGTAAAGCCTTCTTTTTCCTTTTTTTTGTTTTTTGTTTTTTTCCTAACTGGCTCCTGCTTTCATCATTAGCTTTGCAGTATTTTTTTTCTTCGTCAGGTCATCTTCCTCCCTGAAGATTATTTCTTTGGCTTTCTAAAAAGGACTGGAGGGACAGTGTTTTCCTTCAGAAACCCCATGCAGCGATAGGAAGTCACAGAGGCCCCTCTCAGAGAGCAGACATCTGGACTAGACGAGCAGATTGCAGTGCTCAGAACTGGTGTATGGGCAATGGAGAGATGGTCGAGTCAAAGCAGCCAAGTTGAAGCTCCTTTTGCTGACACAGCAGAAGTAAAGACAGGAGCAGGGCAATGTTTCTCAAAGAACCTGTACTTTCCCCATAAGCAAAACAGACCTGTTCAATCCAGCAGGCAATCTCTTAAAGTTGGCGAGGACAGAAACTCCCGTCACAACTCTGATAAAGAAAATCTAGCTAGTGAAGAGAAACCAAGTATTGAAAGAACTGGCTTCTAAAGCAGGAAGTCTGCACTGAAACCAACCAAACAACAAACCCCGCTCCCTCCCGCAGTATAGTTACACATATGAAACACATCTTTTGTCATCTGGTTGCATCTGGCTGCATGTGGTGAGAGCCGGAGTTTCAAACTTAGATGACACCACTTGTGTACCAATTGTGGGTTTAGGTATTTAATTAACAGTTTGGTTCTAGCATCAGGATTTAGGCAGTCTCATTTGAAACTGAGCCTATGTTTGGTTAGACCTGTTCACAGAACGCATTACTATAAATGGAGGTTTGGCAACAAATTGAAAGCTGCATATATCCTCCCAGGCCCTACAAGAAAATAAGTGGGTGTCCTTATTGAAGAAGGCACTTATAGAAAAATGTATCTTATCCCCAAATTCCAAGCTAACTTTTATTCATATACAGATTCAGATCCAAAGTGTTTGGAACCTATGAAACCAGGGGATTGCCGAGACTATGTGGTGAAATGGTATTATGACAAGAATGGCAATTCTTGTGCCCAGTTCTGGTACGGAGGTTGTAATGGCACCAACAATAGATTTGAAACGGAAGAAGAGTGTCGAGAAACCTGCATTGATATATGAACAAGTAAGTTATCTCCATCAGATCGACCTTCAATCACCTCTTTTCTAGACTGAAAATTTTTAGTCTATTTCAACATATCACATACTAGACATACATATCATGCCATACTCTCTCCCTTTGGTCAACTTTGATGCCTTTCTCTGAAACTTTTTGAGATGGTGGGACCAGAAGTGTACTGGTACTCTTGGGTCATGGATTTATACAGTGACATAATGAAGTTCTCTGATTTGTTCTCTATTCCCTTCCCTAGTTTTTAACACTATTTTTGATTTTTTGACCGTTAATGAGGATGGAGGTAATATTTTTGTAGATCATAATTCCAAGACTTCATGTATGGGATAAGCTGAGAATTCATCATTTTATATGTGAATTTAGGATCATTTTCCCCTATATTTCTCATGTATTTCACATTTATCAAAACTCATTTTTCCTCTGCCACTCACTGTTTATTCAGTCAGTATCACAAGGTCCTTCTGCAATTTCTAGCAGTCACCTCTTTTCTTTACTATTTCAGAGTGACAGAGTATTATCACAAACTTTGTCACCTCACTTTTTTACCCTCCTATCTAGATTATTATGATTAAATGGAGCAGCACAGACCATAGCACACAGTGACTTCTCTCCACTTTTATTCCCTTTCCTTTGTTTTCTTCTTTCCACTACTTATTTATAAATTAGAAGACTGTTCTTCTCAATCCAATGTAACTTTCTTTAAGATCCTTCGGTGAGAGACCTTATGTTTTGGAAACCCAGGCAGTCTGTATTAACCATCTTAGGTCTGCATGCTTAGTGAATGGACTTCAAAGCTTACTTATCAGTAATTTGTAACATCCTTTCCAAAAGCCATAGAGCTCCTCCCCAATAAATATATTAAAATATTATATTTGATCTTTCACTATAAAAAAATCATTGACCTGCAGCATGTATTTTTCTTAACTTTTCAAGAAAATTAATCAATTCACTATTTCTTCTAGAAATGACTGCTATTTGGAGTTTTTAAAGCTGGACGTTTGCATGTATTGAGGAAGGAATGATTGAGAAGAATCCAAAATGATATGTTAACATGGATATGCTACCATCACATCACTCTACCTTCCCCGCTACGGTATTCACATTAACTAGATTCCTGTATAGCATGTTATCTAAACAACATAGCAATAACTATCACACATACACACACATGAGAACATACCTTTTCCCTCCATGTTTATAATAAGTTGGTACCACATGTGGCAACGATCAGACTCTATTTTTAGGACTCAAATGTCAAAAGTGTTGACACTCAGCATGTAATGACAGAGGTCTCTTATTCTCTTGGAAGAAAAAAATATGCTCCAGTTTTAAACAAGAGTAAGTGGTTTCTGAAATTAGTACTCTTATTACAGCATTTTGAGACATACATTAAGATTTTCATTAATTAGAGTGCCTCTTTGGAATGTAAATGCCACAGCTATAAGTAATTAGAGGGTTTTTTTCCCATGAAAGCACATTTGGATTAGCACCAATATCACCTTTTCAGTTATGAGGGCAGGACTTCTGTTCAGAATTACATTAAAATCTATAGGATTCTTCAAGTCCTTTAGGCTAGTCAGTACATTTTGATTTCTCAGGGCCTCTGTATTAAATGAATAAAAATGTTATTTGACTCTAATATATGCTATTAAATTAAAAAAGGGAAAAGCACTGAAAGATGTTTACTTATATCCTTTTTACTTTTAGCCATAACCCCATATGATCGCATTGTTAAAACTGAAAATGATGAGCATCTGATTAAAATGGAAAACAACACTCGATAAAGACTCCTGCATTGTTATTTCCTTGCAAAGAACAAACTAGTATCTATACAGACACACTGGACAATTTTTGATATATTTAAAGGAGTTCAAAACAACTGCTTGCACAGTTTTTATTCCCTGTGTAACCAAAAGCCAGCATATACCACGCAAACCTAATGCCATGGGGAGAAGTGCTTGAAGTACAGTTTTTAAAGGAATGACGGGCTCAACTTCTTCCAAAAACCTGGCCTTTCCACTGAGTTCCAAATTAGAAAAAAAAACAACCACCCAGCTCTTATTATGCTCAGAATTAATATGGTGACCTCTCCGGAAAAACTGGCAGTACAATTAATATCTGGTTGACATGGAACAGTGAAACACAAAGACAATATCTTGTGCTAGGTATTCTGCGGTATGCTGAAAGTGAACGGACTCTGTGGTACAGAACAAAAGTCAAGGTGTTGAAATCAGCTATTGTTCTTATTTTGAAAAAAAAAAAGCAATTTGACAAAACTTTTAATAAGGCCCTCAGTCTGCTGTGGTTTTTTGGATATGAAGGACAAATGGCTTCAAAACATGGCACAATGATATAGATGGACTCTTGTGGTAAGTAAGATCAGCCAGATACAAAACTGGCCATAATCAGCAAGTCAGCTAAAAGGTTACAGGCAAACAAGCTACCTACTAGTGGAATGAAAAGATCACAGAAAGAATCAAATTACTTCTCAATAATAAAGCTAATGCCATCATACCAAGAATTTCTATGCATTGGAGACATTTAATAGTGAACAGATGTCCAAAACAAATAACTTCAGCAAGAGAAGAATAACACAGGCTTTGAAAAAACAGAGTAAGACATATAGACCACACCAATATTTTCAGATTGGCTGGAAAAATTAAACTCAAAACTTAAATCATACTAAAATATAATATTAACATATCAAACTCAAAAGATGCATTGAGTGACTTTTTTTCTGGTATATGTCTAAAATCCAGTATTTAGAATTCATTTCAGTTAGATGAGAGAGGCAATGTAGAAAATACTAAAATAAGAGGCAGAACAAGCATTTTTTAGGAGAAGATTAGCATTAAATATGACCCTCACATGCAAACAAATTTTCTGAAGAAAAAAAAATCCACCAAACCCCCTCCACCCCAGGATAACCCCTCCCAAGTAGCCTGCACTCAGTAAGGGGGTACATGTAACATCCTATGCTTCAGTGGGAATAACTCATTGCACTGATATGGGATAGCAAGCAAGTTATTCAAGTCAGATAGAAATGCTGCAGAAAAGAAAAAAAAAAAGAGGAATGAGGTATTCAGTTAAAAGAGAAAAAAAATGTGCAGAGTTAAGCTCTACTGTAGATTACTTATGGATAGCCATAAATTCTCGGATGGTGGTGGTTTCCACAGTCCCCCACCCTTCATTTCATACCTGCTAGGAATATTTTAGGTATAACTGCTCCTGGAAACCCACTGTGGCAATGTTTCTGCCTGGAATCCCAAGATCCCTTCAGCCCCATAGCCTGTGAAGCTATGAATTTTTAATGGAGAAAGAACAAGAAGAAGGTCAGCTTCTTCAGGGTGGGAATAGCTGTTATAGTCAGCTGCATATCTCCAGCCACAATACAAACCCAACCAGTAACCATTGTCTTGTCTAAGAAAAACGTGGCATATGATTGAATTTGAAAATGTGACGATGTAAGCTGGAGGGGTGCAAAAATGTCTTCTAAATATCACTTAAACCTAGTGAAAGTGCAAACTTTTGGTAAATTTGTCCAGCTTTGGTAAGTACAAATAGTGACACCATTTGTTATATAACAACGTTAAAATCAGAGTTGCTCTCTGCTAACATGAATAGAAGGAGTTTTCTTAGAGCAATTAAACTAGTGTGATCCATAAAAACACTGCTTTCTTCTCTACTTTAGTGCAGAGTTGACTAGAACATATTATAGCAAAAAAGCAGAAATTAAGCCTCTAAAGTTTTTTTGTTTTGTTTCATTTTAATTTACATGCTGTTTAAGTCAGATTATCGTGAAATAAGCATCCTTTGCTGTTCAGGTTTTTCAGTGAAGCCTCAGACTACAATCTCTGAATGCATGCTCTGTTATTTATTCAAACATGAAAAGTCATGTCAGCCCATTCCAAAAGGACGAATCTCCTCTAAAGCTGTATCAGCATTGACTGCAGCCTTGTTTCCTACAACTCTTCACCCGTCGAGAGTGCCTTAAGCTAATACACCAGGAGGGGGCACCTTGTGCCAAATACCTACTGCTGTGTTCTTTTAAATTGTATAAAATATTGAAACACCATTACTAATTAAAAGCATTACCTTTTCCACTGGCAAACAAACAAACCCTTTATTTACGTTGCAGGTGAATTTTAATAGTGAGAATATTTTAATAATGAAATCTTTAAATCTTCTGCAGAACTAAACCAAACACTACAAATCATAAAAGTTGGAAAAGAAGGTGCGAATAACAGAAGTTTTTCCTTCTGTAAAACCAATCATTACAAGGCAATTCTATTTGAGACATCTTTGCTTCTAACAGCTCTAGATTTACACTCAGAAAAGAAAGTTTATTCACAGGAAAATAGTACCTGTAGCTACTAATAGTACAACAGCAGCTTTTCACTTTGAGAAACATTGCTAATTCTCTTGCAAACACCTAACAAAATGAGTTTCTCTCTTGCCTCAGTCACTGCCTGTCTCTAGGGCCAATTCCAAGTGTTTTAGGATGCTGTCTTTTCCTTGACTGTCCTGCTGCCCGCACTCCTTAGTTTCTTCTACATCTTCAAATTTCCTCTGTGCTACTCTAAACGTATGGAAAAATATGTGACATTTCCTGGACTACAAACATCCTCCTAACAACTGATTATTATATTCCTCTGTTGGAAATAACTCTCAAAGAAGTTCCTTAGAAAAAAATGTGATAGCGCTGATTCACTGATAAGCATGGCTGTGACCAGCATCCATTTTTTAAAAGTAAGGTTTAAGGAACAAAACAGGTTTACCACAGGATTCCAGCACCTTTCCTCCTCATTTTTGTCCTTTCTTCCTGGCTCTGTTGGTGCCACCTGTGCAAACACACTCTTCTCAAAACTTCTGAAGGCATCCAGCTCCCAGCACATAATTCAAAGCAAGTCCTCATGGGTAACTTGTTGAATTAAAAAAAAAAAAAATCTTTTTTTTTTTAACAAAACAAATAACCCTCGCCCAGTGGAAGAGCCAAAATCTTCATGGGGTAGGTATGCAGCTTCCCCCCGCTGTTTCTGGCTGCAAGTACAGCACCTTTTCGAAGAGCTCCTGACACGTGAGATCCTGTAGGGCCAGCACTGAGATCTTTGACACCCCAATTATCTACTCTTATTCTTCCTGCAGCTTTTTATCAAACCTCTTTTATAACCATCATTTCCGTTTCCTTACTCCTGCTTTTTACTTTCCTAATTGCAGAGCTTCCTCAGCTGCTGCTACAGCTGAATCAAAATTTAAAAACTCAGCAGATCACAGTTTTGAAATCAGAGTCCAATGTAAGCAGAAACCTCAGATATTACACCTGGTAGCTACACAATGCTGCCATTGCATTCATTTTAGGCTATTGTGTTGAAAGGTTAATTGACAGCTGCAGGCAGATCAGTACAATTCTCCTAGGACATTTTACTTACATAAAAACTGAAGTCCAATTTGAAATTAAAATACAGCTTCACACAGAAACGTAGCTAATGTACACCCAGCTCTATTTACAGAACATATGCTAAGACCATTTTGACTTTTCTCAGCTTGCACAGGAAATGTAACTGGCCTTTTCAAAGACCAGCAGAAACATCACAGTTATAGCCGAACTATAATTTTTCACTTATGCCCCCCCGACATTGACCTTTTCCACAGTATTCTGTAAAGCACTAGGTTTAGCACACTGTACTGTGGTCAGTGCTTGAATTAAAAAAGAAAAACAAATAGAAAATGTGAACTTGGTTCTTTCCACAAAAGCATCAGCTAACAAAAAAAAAAAAAGAGGATCTGACTCTCCAGAAACCTCTCCTGGAAAAAGCAGCTAGCCCTGTGGACTGTCTAGCAGTGGGTGTGCTTTCCCATTACAGATGAACTGTGTCCATCTTAACATAACAGGGCTTTTCTGTCTTCTTGGTGATTAGGAAGCGGTCTTACAAACCCTGCTTCACAAATAAACATGAGCCTACAGGCTTTCCCGGTTTCTGCTTCTTTCACCAGCTTGGACAAGGAGAGATATGTGAGGACATTCTGGTCAAGTCGACCCTTTCTAGACAGTCAAATGGTCATATTTCAGCACGCTCTAGAAACATCCAGGGGAAATGCTGCCGTTTGCCATCCCGGGATGCTTTTTCAGACATTGTGTGTAGCCATTTCCAGAAGAAGAGGCCAAAAATAAAGACAAGCGGTAAAATGATCAGATCCATATTTGTCTTTGCTTGAGGTACTTTGATGGCAAATTATAAACGGAGTAATTAGCAAAGCATTGGAAACCTCTGTTCTTTGCGGCTTACGCAAGGATCAGTCACTAGAGGTGAATATTTGCTAAATGTTTCCATCAGGAAACAAGGACCTACAACACTCAAAATTCTTGAAAAAGCATAGAAGACACTGAAAAATCACCAGATTATCTGGTTCAATTAATGTTCAGATCTGCTTTTTATATGCAAATCAGACAAAGGAGAAAGAAGCACCAAGAGAACAGGTGAGCATTTCATGTGCAAGGGCAGGCAGCTTTGATTTCTTTTTTAATAAAGTCAAAGAAAATGAGATTATGGGATGCATAAATCAATATTAAATGGAAGATATTTTAATGTATTTATTTGTTCAGAATCATTCTGTGTTCTAGAGTGTGGGATAATCATTCCAAAACTACATATACAATTAGAATGCATTGTTATGATTTATAAATTATAATATCTTTTTCATGAAGTTCAAACAGAGGAATGCAAGATGCCCCGAAAGAGGTGAGTCTGGGATTAATCAGAAAGAGCCCTGGAGAAATATAAAGTATACTTGCTTAGTAGTACT